CCATCGTCTCCTTCCACAGACGCTGTTCATCTGCTAGCGTCGTGGATCGTCCGTCCTTCTTCTTGGTGGGACGGGACCCCGTTTCCTTACGCCAACGGAGCCAGTACATAAAGGGCATCTTCTCCGGGTACTCCACTGACCCATCCTCGATGCACCTCAGCAACGTGGCTCCTTCCGGCTGACCTGCGACCTCAGCGCTCATCGTCGCCTAGCGAAGGAGAGAGCCCCGTGCCACACAGGACCACGGCCTCAAGGCGCACGACAAGCGCGCCTTCGAGGCCACGTTAAAAGATTGCGGCGCAGCAGCCGCCTGGGTGGCCGTTTCCCAGAACAGCCCCCAATTGTGGAGAACGGAAACCCAAAGGGGCAGCACGCACCCTCGTTTTCCGTCCAAGCAGAAAGTCCAACGACCGTGACAGGGCGAACGTCCGCCCAGGACGGGCTGCGCGCAATTGCGTCGCGGCAACGAGAAGCTACCAACGACACACTGCCGTGCTCACTTGAGCCAAAAATGTTATGAATACGAATTACAGAAGAGCATGCATAAAAGCATACAGCACAACAGCCAGCCCGCAGACTATGTACAGTTACAGGTAGTAGTGAGTAGTTAGTAGTTAGTAGTAGTCAGTAGAAGACGAAGTAGAAGTGGAAGCAGACGTGGAAGTAGACAAGTAGTGAGTAAGTCAGCAAGTGAGTAAGAAGAAAGACTAGCAACAGTACCAGATTGTCGGTCGGAGATTGAACAATACAAGTAATTTAATTATTACTATCTTATCCCAGACATACTACTGTTACCAAACGTAAATAATGTATTCGACTCTTAAAATTCAGGCTTGTTAACTTCTAATAGTAGTTTAAATCAAACGAGTCACTGGCGCACCATCTTGAAATCCCGTCTCCTTTGCAACGACGCTTGGTCTGGAAGCAAAAGGATCTGCTGCTGTCCGAGGCCGAAGTTGCCCATGGAGCGCCTCACCTCAGTCATCGCCCTCTTGCTGTCGTCCGGCACAAAGGTGACGAGGACGTCCTGAAAACCAACAGTGAACTTGTGACTGTGAGAATCCAGCGGCGTGAGTCTGGAGTTTAATAAGGTCTAGGAGTTGTACTGTATGGTTTAGAGTTTCTAAGCTCCTCTGTGTTGGCGAGGGCGTCGAAGCACTCGACAAAGATCGACCAGGCCGCCTTGTTGAACCTAGGCTTGGTGAGTGATCAACTGATACAATAATGAACTTAACCGTCTGCAACAAATACAATTTCACGCTGGCTGTGAATAGCATCAGTCACCATCCCCTTTGTCTGAGCCACACCTGTCCGCAAACTTAAAATTTGTAACACTGTGTCGTTCGAAGTAGCTAAGTAGCAATTCGCCGTAGTAGTACTGAACTAGTACTGGTACTAAACCCAAGCACACTCAATCATACAAGTCACACCGGCATTTTGGTGTACGGGTTGTGGAGCTTGCAATACACTCCAGAGGGCTCTGTAAAAAGAGCGCTGTCATACATCCAGGCCGTTCCTGTCTTCTTGGCGCCGTCTGACACTTTCAAGAAAGTGTTGCCAGACAGTGCCTCCACAAGTCCCTTTTTGGACGAGGGCTGATCGAGGTCGAAGACGAGGGCCTGCAAGTAGAAGGCCATCTCCTCCTGCAAGACATCATTTAATATAATAAGGACTACATTTTTATTTTGGACTTAACAGTTACAATGAAAGCAACTTAACTTTAACCTGCCAGCCTTGGCCGCGGAGATGGCTAGTCTTCTCCTTTTCTCGGAGTCCGACTCCGTGGCCAGCGTCGGACTCATCTCCGCGGTGACGTCGACGTAGCTGTCCTCCTCGGCGCCGTCCTGGCTCTCGACTGCCGGCTCTGGGGCCTGCGAGGACGAGGTCATGCGCCAACTGTCCAGGCAGCCTGACACCAGAGCCCGGACTTCGGGATGCTCTTCCCTGGCAGAGCTCTGCACCGCCTTGAAGAAGCTTGAGTCGTGGACCCCTGCTTGGATCGCGTTGATCGTCTTCACCATCGAGGCACAGGACGAGGACGAGGACGAGGGCGCAGAGCACGAGGACGACATCTCCCCGATGATGCTCCACTCTTGGTGGCCCCAGGCAAAGGGATCCTGGCAGGTCTGCAAGGCATTGTAGAACTTCACCTGCAAGGGATCGCTGGTTGCCTCCACGGTTTGCTTCACCTGAGTTCCCGTGCAAGCCTAACTGTAGATAGTTCAAGTTATTATTAACATTGACTTAATAATAATAAATATAAAAGACTACTAACTGGGGACCTATTCACCGCATGCAAGAGCATCCGCAGAACCTTCAACCGCAGGACGAGTGCGTTGGCCGCCTGCAAAGAAGAAACTACTGATTGACTTGACAGCATCATGTGTTTTGGAAGCCTCTGCTGCTTGATCCCTCTTGAGGTCGAGGACGTTGGTGAAGGGCATCACCACACGCAGATCCCCGGGCAGATCGAACTCAGGTCGCATCTCCTGCCAAGGAACGCAGAACTCTGCAGACGACACTGAACTACCAAGGGCGTCTACCTCCCAACTCAGGGCCTGAGTGAGCAGCGCAAAGACGTACTTAAACTCAGCCGTCTGCTTCAAGGACGAGGACCTTGGCTTGTCATGAGAACACGACAATAAATTCCATTAAATTAAATATTATTCTAAAGCTTAGCAGAAACGCAAAGGACCTCCCATTAGCAGCCAGGGCTCACGCGTGTGACTATGGCCCAATAGGACAACCATGTCCTTTTCCCATTTACGACCTGTGTGGATCGCAACCGGTCCAGCAGCCCGCTTTCCACGGATTTCTTGTACATCGCCAGCAGCTTTTGCACCTTTGTCGGCACAGACAGACCGACTTCTGAGAGCATGACCATTATGACAATAATTTAGGAACAGGCCTGATCGTCTGTGTTCAACGTGGATTCTGCGCTGCCCGCTGTGATCTTGTTTTGCAGCAAATTGAAGATGTCTTTGTTGGACGAGGGCTGGTGCTCCTTGACGAAAATTAAAACACACAGACAGGGATGCACGACAGGTGTCATTGATCAGAGATTACTTCGAAAATCAATGTCATGCAAGCCACTGCGACGAGGGCGACCTTGAGTGTTGCGAGTCTTGTTGCATAGTTGAACGGCAGGTGGTTGCCCTGCTCGAGGCATTTCTTCTGGATGTCCTTGGCTTCTCGGCTTCAACAAGAAAATGTGCAAACAACACTACTCAGACACATAAAATAGCTAGTGTTGTGTCAGGTCACCTCCCCCGACTGGATAATCCGAATGATCGTCTTCTCGCCGCCAAACAGTCGGGTCACGACAATGTGAACCATCCCAGCCAGCTCGAAGAGCACTCGGAGCCCTGACAGGGCTCTGATACTGATACATGTGACACAGTCGTTATTGATCACACGACAAAACTCATCCTGGCCTTGTCACACTCGACCGCCTCCTTCCATGCGAGGACGAAAGACAGAATCTTGTGACTGTCCTCTGCGAGGACGAGGGTGCCTTTTGTGGAAACCTCCGTGGCAAAGGTGGAGGCTATCAAGGGTCCGCTGGCGAGGACGCGGCTCTTGCTCCACCAGTAATCTTTGGCGTCCATCAGAACCGGAACCGGCGGCAACTCTCCGTGGACGAGATCGAGGTCGGCCAAACACCCGGAAAAATTGGCCACCTGCGGGTCACTCACTCAAAGCGCTCTAAGTCTACTACACTAAAGACTGCGACTGATCTGTGCTTCGCTATGCTGTCAGTCGCGAGCCTTGCCGACCATTGCTCCTGTCCAGTTCTTGGGGAAGGACTCCACACCTGCCACCAAGCTCTTCCCTGACGGCACCCACTGTCTCGTCCTTTTCAGAAAGGTGACGGCCTCATTGATCCTCAACAAGCACATGTGGCACTGGCAAGTCTGCTGTGGGCACATGTGGCAAATCTGCTGCCTGCGACAGCGACTCCCTTTATTACTGAACTGACCAAGCTTCAAGATCACCGTCTCCGGGGACGGGGGCGGGGGCGTGGCTGTCTCGCCGTTTTCATCGACGAGGGCGGCTGACATGGATGGATCCGCCGAGGTCGAGGCCTCTTTCGAATTTGGTTTGGCAGGGCTTTTGACCTTGGCTTTCGCCTTGGCCTTGCCCTTTGCCTCCGGTTTCTTGCCCATGGTGCTCGCCTGTCCGTCTGCTAGCACCGCAGGGCCAACTTTGAGCAAAATGCTCTGGGATCTTTGAGCTGTTGTAAGAAGGCATATGCCGAGCAGTGCCACACATGCAAACCAGCTGGCACGTGAGATCCGGATGACAGTGACAGTTGCTGAGCAGCAGACCTGCGAGGACGAGGACTGCAGCTGCGGCGGGCTTGGACCTGATTTAGTAAGAGATACTCAGTCTGGCGTTGCTAGACCTTTGGCCCTGCTGCACAACACTGTCTTTAACGGGCAAAGAGGCTCGTTACATTAGGGGTCGAAAAAAAAAGGATTCTGATTTGACAAAACCCAGTCATAAATGTAACCCCCCAGGGGGGGTACATCCTTGCAGGCCGGCCCCGGGCATGTGTGCAAGGATGTAGGGGTCCCGGGGGGTTGCGTTTGTGATCGGTTTCAGGAAATGAAGGGTTAGAATCTTTATGTTAAACCCAGTCATAAATGTATACCCCCCAGGGGGGGTTACATCCTTGCAGGCCGGCCCCGGGCATGTGTGCAAGGATGTAGGGGGTCTGGAGGGTTGCGTTTGTGATCGACTTCTGAAAACCGAATCCTTTTTTATGGAATCGGGTTGCACGGCTTCCAATGACAAATCCAGGGCCCCCGGCTGTCATCAACTCTCGGCATCAACCTGCAAGAACACAACAGCCAAGGATCGGATGTATGAAACGATACTCTCTGGCTCACAGCTCTCCCTAACTTCACCTCCAGTGCCTGTCAGTCACAGACACAGACACACACACACACACACAGACACAGACACACATGCACGCACACAGATTTTCCTCGCGCTGCCTGGCACTACTGGCCACACAACACCCGATGTCGTGCTGGGTCCGGGTTTTTGGACCGCAGAAATGAGATGTCACAGCTTCCAGCCAAATATTTAAAACATAATGTTACACAATGTCTGCCTTGGCTTGAAATAAGTAGCTGTGTCGCATCATGTTGAAAATTATCATACTTTATAACTTCAGTGGCCCAGGCTCTGTGCTGTGCATTGTCTACCGGTGGCGAGGGCATCCTGCCAGGACCAGGAGTGGCGAGGGCATCCTGCCAGGACCAGGAGCATTTTGGACCACATTGGAAGCCCATGCACCATGCATATGCAGTGCTGTTACGGACCTTCACAAGGAGAATGAATCGGGGAAACTTCCATGATTGGATCACATGACCCTGCTTGTTCATGCATCATGGACTCTGACTCAGCCCACTATTAGAAACGTCGCACCAACCCGCCTTCTTCACTGTAAGAATCCAGGCCGCAAATGGCAAAGATGTCGGCCCATCAACCATCTGACGAATTTGTTGATTTCACGAGCACCTGGCAGTGTCGTTGTCATGGGAACACTGGGACTGACTGTACACCACCTTGGAAGGCGGAGCACCTTAGACTGACAATCATGAAACCACGGCAAGGTCCTCCTGGATGCTTTCTGCGTAAAGCAGGTTGGCCTTGCCTTGGGGTAGTCGCCGACGAGCACCCCACCACACGTTCTGCATGGCTGACAATGTCGCTCATGTCAAGCTTGCTCTGATGATATTTTAATAGAGTAAGTACGAGTGGCAGCACTGACACCAGTCCTGGGCGAGGGCGTCCTGACACCACTCCTTGGCGAGGGCGTCACGTGATGACTGGGAGCGTAGACCACCTTGGAAGGTCAAATGCACATTTGCCTGCCGACATGAAAACCGTAGACGAAAGGCCCTAAACTGAATTTGTTTTGTTTTGTGACCTCACTGAATGTCATCACAATTGAATCAGAGCGGCTTGCTCAAGTGCACCAGGAAGTTGGACTCAGTCACCACGACTCCCTTGTTCTTGAACGCAACCGAGATCTTGTGCGTGTCGCCGACGACCACCCAGGAACGCTTCTTCCTCCTGGTCAGTATTTAAACAAGCGTCCTTTAATCTTGGCTTGCACGGCAACAAGCTGTGCCAAGGCACAGTTCAGATCTCTTCGCCCGTACTGTCCAGCGGTTCGCACAGCTGGCCAAGGAGATCACCAGCAAGGCGTCGCTCTTGTAGGTCACGCTGTCACCGAGGACGAGTTCCATGCTTCGTTCGAGGGCGGGGTCTAGGGAGAGGACTGGCATTACCAGCTTGTGGTCTGTGTCAAAACAAGCTGCCATCCACTCGGGCCCAGCCAAGTATCCTCCCAGCAAACGGGTCATGACGACCTCGGTCATGCTGATGTTGTGCTTGGCCTTGCCCTGGATCAACGCCGTCTCAGCATCTGCCGTTGATGCTACCCAAATAATGTACTTGTACTTGGGCGACAGCTGCCGCAGCAGACCCTTGGCATTGGAAGCCTCGAACAGGAAGAGCTTCGCCTTCAGCCTCGACAGGATCTTGTCCTGCGAGGACGAGGGCCGGCCACCACACAACACGATGGCTGTAAGCTCGTGCTGCAGAAACAGCTTGTGCTGGATCGCCTTCTGCAAGTCGACCCGCTCCAGCGGAAGCGCTTCCTGGTCCTGGGTTTCCCTCTGAATTCTCAGCTTCTCCTGTGCCTCGAGGTCGTTGCCAGGACCGAGGAGGAGGGCGTCGAGGACCTTGCGCTTCTGCTTTGCCTTGGTCGCGAGGCTGCTGAGAAGGCTGCAGTAGGCCTTGCGCTTCGTGCCTTGGTCGTGAGACTTCTCTGTCGTTTTTTGCAGAGAAGACAGAGAAGTGCTGCCCCCATCATCCTCGAGGGCGGTGGCATTGGGGATGCTTTCTGCCTGATTATTTCGGCGTCGAAGGAAGGCAGCTCTCCCCTTGGATCGCACCCGGGTCCCTGCAACCTCACGCCTGGGCAACTTTGACACGGCACGCTTGCCCTCTCCATACAGGCTGCGGTAGGCCTGCTGCACCTTCCGCACAAAGGGGGTGTTCTCATAGACACAGACTCCACCCTCTGACTGTCTGAAGGGGATGTCTTCAGCACGAGGGCCGTCTGCGAGGACCTTCAAGAGGGCGCGGACGAGGACGTCCGAGGTTCTCGCCTTGCGCTCAGAGCTGAACATGCGCTGCACTGCAAAGCTTTGCTCCACTTCGCACGTACTCTCCCAAACGGACAGCAAGAAGCTCACCTCAGGGGGCAGACAGCGTAAGCATGAAATTTCACGGCAACTTCGCTCATGCAGGATGAATAATTAGCCGCTGAGTGGCGGCGAGAGCGAGGGCAGGGAGCCGCTTCTTGCCCCAGTGCATGACTACTTGTCCCCAGTAGACCTCGGGGTCAACCACTCCCTGCCTCAGTATGACCAATGAGACGACACAGTGTGTCAGTAGCTGAAAACTACCATGCGGGATCCATGTACTAAGACCAGAACTTCAAGAGGGCGCGGACGGTAGGTCGGGCCACAACCATATCATCGGATAACTTCTGTGCATCGAGGGCGAGGGCATCTGCCAAGGGCTTCAAGACAACAGGCCTCACCCAGATTTCAAGAAAGCTGCTGAGTCAATAATGGCAGTGACACTCTGCTGCTTCAATGCGATTTAATGTAATAAAAGCCCAGGCCACAGGGCTTCGTCATCTCGATGCTGGCTCTGCCAATAGGCGAGGTCGAAGGCGGAGAACGAAGAAGCGAGGGCACTTTCGTTCTCAGTCATTACGCCTTCCAAGAATAGATCTCTTGCACACCAGACTGGCCCCAGGCACTTTGCTGTAATTTTGTCCATGTCCACGCCCTCACCTCGCAAAGGAAGTTATGACATGAAATGTCGCAGCAAGGCAAGCAGCGGACTGTCTTCACCTTTTAATGTTGCGCACACCCTGCCTGGAAGACGATAAACCAGTTCTCCGCTCTCGATGACGGAGAAGGTTCGCTTGCCTGCCACGGCGACAACAAGATGGACGCAGCCGTGACTTTTATTTTAAAAGCAGTTTCAACCCCCAAGCCTAGGCCGAGGGCGGCTGTCACAATCTGCAAGTACCCAGCTGTGAAGCGGGCATCGAGGACGAGAGGATGGTGTGGCTGACCCTTGTACTGAAACGAGAACAGCTGTGCCAACTTGTCTCGAAGACTGGCTGCAGCCATACCATGCTGGCTGATCCTCGAGGGCCGGGAGCACTGCCGCGAAGCTGAGCTGGACTTCACGCTCCCGCCCGTGTTGTCCATCTTGTGGACATATGGCTTGCAGGCCTCCAGGAACTCGGTGACGAGGGCCATGTGCACGATGTTCTCCAAGGTGAAGAAGTCCAGCATGCCTGAACTAAGTAGTTGAATGTTAGACTACTGCCCTCGACCTCGAGTCACACAGAAACAAGATTACTATCTGGCAAGTCGCGCTTCGCCCAGGCAGCATTCTCCTTGTCGAGCTTGCTGCGAGCAGTTTTGCAGAGAAAGTCAAGGATCTCAGAAATCCGCATGCTGCACAGGCACAGAACCTGCAACATGCTGTCCCATCTCTGCGCGGCGAAGGACCAAGACGAGGACGCGGCCGCGGACGAAGTCGAGGCCCCGCACAACTCCTGGATCACGTTCAAATCCTTCATGATTTCCGCAGAGAAGGCTGAACGCAATTTCGCCGAGTTCGACAATGCGCGGGCCAAGCTTCCGCGGTCCTTGGTCCCTGCGAAACGAGTGACGAGGGCCTCGACGAGGGCAGAGATCTCAGGCACTGCTTTCATGGAGTTCTCCAAAGTCTTCTGCGCCGAGTGCGCGTAACAACGCACTATGCCGCGAAGCTGTGGCAATGTGGCGTTCTCCTGCTGGATATTTAGTAGAATTAGTACGCTACGTACGAACAACGAGTACGACAACATTATTACACGATGATGACTAGTAGTAGTTGTAGTAGTAGTAGTAGTAGTAATAGTCAGTAGTAGTAGTAGTAGTAGTAGTAGTAGTAGTAGTAGTAGTAGTAG